CTTCTGTAAAGATTTACAGCCCTTGCATTGAAAAACAAGAAACTCATGCATTATTATTCAAAATGGGTGACATTATGCTGAATGAACTATCTCAGTCACAAAAGGACAAATACTGCATAATGCCACTGTTGTAGAACGGGACTGACATCAGGGCTGGGTGAGACTGAGAAAAATTGGATAAATTATGTATACTACATTGAAACAGATGAGGGAGAGAACATTATGAGGGAGAGTATTATGGATATGATAAGAGTCCAGAATGAAGGCTACATAGTGGAATGTACTGGGGGTGAGGGGATTGTATACCAATGAAAGAATTTTTCTTTTACTTTTCAAAGAGAAGAGCGAAATGGGAGGAAGAAGTGGACAGGAAGAAAATGCAACAATAAATGAATGAAAATCTAAAATTTCTGTAAATGTTCATTAAAATTAATAAAATAATATTAAAAAATATTTATAGCCTTGTCAGATCAACTTGGAACAATGCAAAGACAGGCTTAACAAGTATTAAAATTCGCAAGTTTCATCTAAAAAATGTAAAATGAAGTCCCATCAAATGATGTAAATGATTCTCCCCATAAACTGTCAATAATAAGCCGCTTCAGTTGGACACTCAGCCTCACTTGGACGTAGAGTCTGAGAGACTCGGCTGTGAGTCCTGTCTCTGCCACTTACTGCTTACCTAGTGTCTCACAAGTTCCTTCATCAGACTAACCTCTGTTTTCTCATCTGTAAAATGGGCATACTGCCTACCTACAAATGTGGAGAACATGAAATGAGGCACACACCACGTGTTCAATAAATCTGTGTTTTCAAATCTCCTACATATTATATATATTATGATGATGTCATTACATATTCTTTTCTAAGGATAGAAAATGTCCATTTTTATTTGAGAAATAACCTATAATATTTGTAATGCTGCCCCCATACATTCCGTATGTCTTTCCAGATCCATTTCATACTTACAAGGCTGCCCCATAACTGGTGCAGGTAAGGAAGAGTAAGGACTTCCTAGCATGTACTGCGCCCATCCAGCGAGCTATGTCCAGGGGCAGAGACAGACCTCACCAGATCAACTGGTCCACTCTGGAATGGAAAGGATGTGAAGCCTCCAGCAGAAACTTCACGCAAGCACTACTGGCCCAAGGAAGGTAACCACGCACCTGCAGTCCCCGCACCGTGTCCTATCAAAGGAGCCTCCCACGCTGGCTCACAACACACAACCAACACAACTGCAGCAGAACCAGAGCTGAACTCATCTGTAACCAAGCCATCTGTGCCCAAACCATTTGTGCCCAAGTAATTTGTGACCACATCTGTGCCCGTCATCGGTGCCCAAGCCATCTGTGTCCAAGCCGTCTGTGCCCAAGTCATCCGTGACCACATCTGTGCCCAAGCCATCAGTGCCCAAGCTACTGTGCCCAAGCCATCTGTGATCACATCTGTGCCCAAGTCATCTGTGTCCAAGCCATCTGTGATCACATCTGTGCCCAAGCCATCCGTGTCCAAGCTACTGTGCCCAAGCCATCTGTGCCTAAGCCACCCGTGCCCAAGTCCACATCTGTGCCCAAGCCATTGGTGCCCAAGCCATCTGTGTCCAAGCCATCTGTGACCACATCTGTGCCCAAGCCATCCATGCCCAAGCCACCTGTGCCCAAGTCCACATCTATTCCCAAGTCTGCTTTCTATCAGCTTCATAAGCCCTGGACAAACCATCCACATTAGCTGGTCCTAAATGTCCCAACCTACAGATGTTCCCTGCTCTACCGGGCTGGGGGCAAGTGCTTCCTGCAACCTGTCCAGGGCTGATACGTGTCTTCACAGCTCAAGTTCTCACTGAGGCTTCGTCAAAAACCAAGAAATCATCAGATAGGGGCAAAACCGGTAATGCTCATTCCTGCACCGTATCACAGTGCCGAGGATTCATTTCCCCAAACCCCCAAAGCCGCACCCCATGGGGCACCTGAGTTGGAAAGGTCTGCACCAAGGTGCATACACTGTACCCCACGTAACACACTCCGGGCACTGAGGACAAAGCCTGGTGGCACAGTGATCAAAGCGCCCAGCTGCCAGCAAAGCCTGGGGTTCTGCTTCCTCCGACAGCAGCCCAGCAACCCCTGAGCAGTCCCCTGTCCAGCCAGGCTGACGTGAGTCGGAACTGATTCCATGGCACCAGGTTTGCTGTTTGGGTTTCACACGTGGTAACTAAGCAATTCTATCAACTCGCCCACTGGATTCTTGGACAAGCCTGGGGGGGGGTGGGGGGTTGGGGGGAAGGTGAGGCCGTTTCTCTTTGTACCTTGGGTAACAAGACTCTGAGCATTGGGGTTTCTATGTGGTTTACAGGCGTCAGCTCGTCCCCAAATGAGAACAGACCTGGACAAAAAGCCGCTCACTGAATGGCCTCCTGACCCAAACCGAACATACAGAAACAAAAAGGTGGGGTGCCAGCACCTGTGCCCCACTCTGGAACCTTGTGTCTGTCCCCAACTCCCCCTCCAACACTGTCCTTTGAGAGCAGGCTGTAGGCTTGGTGGGCTCCCTCTGCCTGGCTGGCCCCTAACTGGACTTGTGGGGCAAGGCTACCAGGCAGGATCACAGGGTCACACCTGGACAGTGATCAGCAGGGCTACTGCCAGGCTGACAATAAGAGGAGGGAGTGCAGGGTCCCCACCCCCAAATGAGGCCCCTACAGTCTCCCTTCCAGGCAGTGCCCCCTCCCCAGCTCCAGGCTTCCTTACAAGAGAAGAAGGATCCTCACTGCAAAGCAGGGGCTGCCTTCCCCAAGTGTCCCCACCCCCACAAGACCCCTCTCTGCACAGGGTCTCCCTCCCAGGCAGTGCCCCTCCAAGACAGCCTGCCTCCTACAATGTGTCCTTCCCCAGACAGCCCCTCCCTCTCAGACAAGATCGCCTGACAAAGCCCACTCTCCAACACAGTGCCCTATTAAGACCCCTCCTCTCAGAAAGCAGTACCCCCTTCCAGACAACCCCTTGATAAGGACCCCGTCCAGACAGCCCCCTGATAAGACCACCCTCTCTGACAGCCCCCTGATAAGGTCCCCCTCTTGTAGATAGCACCCTGATAAGGTCTCCCTTCCTGATAAGACCCGCCTCTTGAAGGAAGCCCCCTGATGGGCACCCCCCC